GTTTCCATTTTATTTTCCATTACAAACTGTCTTAACCCCAAGCCCCATTGACGCAGAGCCGCCCGGAGCTTCTGCCCGTCGCAACCTCCAGGTAATGCCGCTGCGCTAAGAACATCTGCCACCAGTACCCATTCGCTCCTTGGGGGTTTTAGGTTTTAGGGCATGGGGTAGTTATACAGGAGTTATACAAGGATTACGTCGGGGTCTGATAAGCGTAGGGTTATATTAGGGCATGATATAGTGGGTAAATACGTATTAAATATGTAGAGTCTAGGGATATTACCTCAATAATCATGGAGAATTTACGGTAAAAGAACACGGAGCATGAAATTGAAACAAACAGCTAGGGTTATTAGGGTTTAGGATTCAGGGCTTGGGGACTTAGAGTTTAGGAATTAGGGTTCAGCTTTTGGCGTTCAGGGTTCAGGGCTTTCAGTCTAGGCCAAACAAGAGGGGCTGGCTGTGGGAAAGCCAAAATTAAGAGCGCAGGTCTTAGATGAGTTGGGGATAGCCCTAGTAGACATCCTGGGGAGATTTGCAAGCTTCACCGATAACATGTCACAGCCACACAACCACTGCCTACCGCCCCGTGCCCAGCGCCCAGTGCCCAGCGCCACCGCCACTGCTGTCATTGCCGCCATCACCACCATTAGCTTTCCGGCTTCTGCAGCAGCAAATGTGGAGAAAGGTTTGTGGAACAACCTCAAATCTGGCACTCCTGCTATCCCCGAAGCAGACCTAAGTTCCTGAAGCAAAATCCAGGCAGGACACCAAAATTCACAAACAACAACTCGCCCACCGAGAGTCTGGGAGCTGGGGCCGACGGTCCAAAGGCCTGCAAGGATTCTGGGCAAGAAGGACACCAGCGCACATTACTTAAAAAACACATAAAGAATGATGTCAAGCCAACCCCAGGATAGAACGGCAACTCTCCTGCTTCTTGATCAGCTGTGGTACTACCACAACGAGATGCAAAAGCAATTTCGGAGCAGATTACAATCATGCGTCTATGCGGAGATGTCGGGGGAATCTAGGACTGCTGCAAGGATGGGGCATCCAGCATGCGCAGGCTTTTTGCTTCAGGGGATCCGTGGGAAATGCTGAAATCTAATGGAGTCCAGGCTTCCGGCTATGTTGTCTGGCCCCATAGCGGTCAACGCGCAAGACTGATACTTCTCCTCCCCAGATGTATCTAACCGTTGAAAGGATTGATACCCGTCGCTTAGGACTTTGTGTAACTTTTGGAAATATCGTTACGACTTGCCATCCTCCTTTTAATTCCGGCAACAAGTTTTTGTTTTTTGCAATTTCAAGGATCCCTTGAGGAAGCATGGATGGGTTTCCGGATCATCCCACAAATCATATCTCATGTAAAATGCTGCATAAGGGACCCCTCCGGCTTTCAGGGATGGCAGGTCAGCTAGCTCAGGTGAAAAGCGGTTCGGAGGCATTGCTGCCAGTCTTTCACATGCAGGTTGGTTCAGGCGGTGTCAAAGACTTGGGTCATTTGAAGTACCAGCAGCTGGAGAGCTACGCGATTGCGCGACCTCAACTGAACTACCCAGCTAGGCTCAAGTCAGATCCACCTGTTATTCCTGCTTGCATTATCACTGATGCGTAAATCACAGGACTTAAGACTATTGACCCGGTCACCAGCAAATCTGGGAGCCCCTGCTGGAGCACGGCTGGACGTAGATCGATGGCGGCGCGTCAATGGGGCCGCCAATGTCTTGGCTGCAGGCATTCATGCGTGCATCACCTTCACATGAATCAACATGCGATGCTGGTGGTTGTGGTCGTGGTGGTGGTGGTGGTGGTGGTGGTGGCGCCGGCGGCAGCGGTGGGGGTGGTGGCGGCGGCGATGGCGGTGGTCGGGGTGACGGAGGCGGAGGCACTGGCAAAGGTGGTGTGCTGCTCGACGCAATCACGCCAGGTAGACGTGGAACGCCGTCCTACCGGGCAGGCCGACTCCGCTGGGTCCTCCGCCTCTGTGCTGCCCAAGCGTCGCCCTTGCGAGAGTGGCCGCCACTCTGCACGAACTCGCAGCCTCAGCTGCGTGTTTCCACGAAGGAGTGAGGAAATCCAGGGACCCCATGTGATTCCTGGTTTTTTTTTGTCGCCAAGTACCGGTTCTAGTGTGGAAACTGCTTGCAATTAGGGGCCTGGCGTTGCAGGTTGGAGTTTGGGGGCGAGTTTTGCTTGACCATCTTCATGCCATGTCAACACATGAGTACAGCTGGATAAGGATCCGCATTTACAGAACTCCCATTTTGGAGTGTTGGCATGCTCAGCCAAGTCTTGGAGATGGCACAAGGCATCAGGTTCCAGGATCCATTGGGTGCATAGGCAGATCAAAATATGGTAGGGCAAGCCCAAATCATAAATAGGTGACTAGGTAACATCCCACAGTCCGTCATAGCTACTGTTATTATTGGTATGTAATGCACCTACCGTGGGGGAAACAAAAACTAAGAAAAACATTTTGCTGAGCACACGTGCAGTCATGCAGCTGCCCTGCTGGTATCAATCCAGCATAAAGACCTCGAGCACGGCATAGGTTCAGGGTTGCCTTTTGCTGCTTAGGAATCACGGCTCGCAGTTTGGTTTAGGCTCTTGAGAACAAGAACACAGTGGACAGCAAGTTCATACAGAACTTGGACTGAGCTCACTCCAAAACTAGTACTAGCTCTGCTACCCGACATGTACAGTCACATCTGCCAATTAGAGTCGAGATCCTCATAATACTTCGCAAGGCCGTGCGCAGCCCTTTCCACTCCCAAGCCTTACAGAAGCTCCTAATTAGCAGCTAACTATAAGAGCCACCTGCTAAGAACTTAGCACTACACTATATGATGTCAGAAGCTGAACGAAAGCAAAGCAACAACTCCCTCCTCCTAGTGAAGACCTCTTCCTCCTCCTGAGCCTTCCGGCCCTACTAACAATAACGCCGCAGTTCTTACAAATCTGAGCAAATGGAATTCAATGAAGATGTATTTTTGGGGTGGGGTGCAGGTGTGACAAGACGAGCCAAACCGGCGCGTAGTGGGCGTGGGCGTAGGGTGGAATGGGAGTTTCTCATGAATTCCGGATTCTTCTCAGGGCTCTGTATGAGAAATGTTGCCAAACCCTCATGTACATTTCAGAACATCGAGATTCCCTCTATACTATAAACATGTGGAAACTTGCATGAAGAAATCCCTCGTCCAACCCTGGCATCTGACAGCATTAGCCAAAAGGTCCATGTAGCTATTTAGTATATAGATCCTTAGGGCCCAAAACGGGTTCCCATGTTACTTCAGGGCCCTAAACCCTAAACCCAAACCTAACCCTAAACCCTAAACCCTAAACCCTAAACCCTAACCCTAACCCTAAGCCCTGACCCTATACTATACAGCCTCATGGACCCTGTAAACCCTGTGAATGGATCGCCAAAAAGAGCCGAGAGTCGGAGCCAAGTTTCGGGCTGCTGGTTCTGAACAAAGTTTTGGTGTTTGGGCTTTTGGGATAGGGTGTAGGGGTTGAGGGGTTAAGGGTTTAGGGCCAGGGGTTAAGGGTTTAGGGGTTAAGGGTTTAGGGGTTTAGGGTTTGGGGGTTTAGGGTTTGGGGTTAGAATTCAAGGTTTTGCTTGCTTTGAAAGGCTTGTGGCGTTGTTGCTATAGGACGTGTAGGGTTCAGTGTAGTTTAGATGGTTCATAGCTTGGGGTGTTCAGGGCTTGCAGGGTTTAGATGGTTCATAGTGGTTGGGCTTTACGAGGGCTTACCCTAGACCCTAAACCCTAAACCCTAAACCCTAAATACTGTTTAGGGTTCAGGGTTGAGGAGGTTGCGGGCGGTGTCGGATTCAGGATCTGTTGCAAGGACCTGCTGCCATCTGCAAAATCCTCGCTGCTGGGTTGAGAAATAACATATCATAGTGTGTTATATTATACTATAGTATATTATAGTATATTATGGGGCTATATTGGGATAATGGAAACGAACATAAAAACTATGATTTAGGGTTTAAGGTTGGAAGTCTGGGTAAAGGGGTTTAATTCCAGGGCTGAGGGTTCCTGGAAGAACCATGCTCGCCTACAAGCTCAAGCATACGCCAATAAACAGCCCAGCGTGTAAGAACAAAAAGCTAGAAGTTCTGCTACCCTTATGCCTTTAAACCCTCCTGTACGGGTTGTTAATCTACTAGACAAGGAAAAGGTTTTCAACCCTAACCCCCCCCCCCGCACTAAGGGTCCAAGTACCGAATAACCATATACTTACCCACAACCTGTACTATAATTAATTACTATCGCTCAAAACCCAACTACCTAATTATTGGGTACTTGGACCCTAAACCCTAAGCCCTATATACCCCTATATACCCTATATCTCCCTATATATCCCCTTTTAAAGGTGCCTAATTATGGGGTACTTGGACCCTAAACCCTAAACCCTCTATACCCCTATGCCCTATATATCCCTATACATCCCCCTTTAAAGGGACCTTATTCTTGGGTACTTGGACCCTCTGGGAGAGATCTGGCCTCCAGCTTCTGCCCTTCGAGCAAGGAGGCCAACTTCGCTCCATTCGAGCCCAGCACTGTGGCCCTCATGAAACTTTAAATACTTAGGTCCCTTTAAAGGGGATATATAGGGGTATATAGGTCCCTTTAAAGGGGATATATAGGGGTATATAGGGCCTTTAAAGGGGATATATAGGGGTATATAAGGTTTAGGGTTTAGGGTCTCAGTAACCAATAATTAGGTAGTTGGGTTCTAGACGGGTACTGTTCATGGAGGAAATCTTGCACCACCTTAGGTCCCTAAAGTCCAAGGAGTTACAATAGTTTAGGGGTTGCAGGTGGTGTCAGATTTCATCCATCAACAGTATCTACCCTAGAGATATACAGAGGGATAACGTAGGGCTCAAGGTGTTCTTGCTCTAGGGTTCTGGTTCATCCCAATGAAGAGCACATTGGAAATCAAACCGACAACGAAATGGAAACTGTAGGGTTTAGGGTGGTTAGTCGGGATCGGAGACATGGAAAAACATGTCCAATTTCATGCTTGGGGGTTTGTAGAAGTTCAGAGTATAGGCGAGACAAAACACGGGAAATCAACTCGACTGTGACATGGAAAATGAAATGGAAACAGGGAACATGTAAACATTATATTTAGCATGTAGGGTTTGGGATTTTGGGTTTGGGATT